TCTTTATCGAAGTCGATAGAGCTGAATTATTTATTGGTTTTATTTGTAGTGTAGGCATGGGTAGCAAATTTTGAGAAACCAAAGGGTGATCCATCTGCTTTCTTGAAGCCTGCAACTACGGTTTTGTCACCTTATTTGAAAGTGAGTTACATCACTTACATGACATAATTTTGTTCACTTAAGCTTCGCATTCTGTCTTGTTACTGACATTTGAGAAGTTTGGATGCCTTTCTTCGAGGTACTTTTATCAATGCCTTCAAACTATTTATAAGGATGCGAAAAAGCATACATCGCCGCCAGTTTCTCTCCTTGGACAGGTCAGCCAATGACTTAAGACTGTTACTTTTATACTGACAGACTTCGGAAAGTTGATGTGTTTTTCTATTTATCTAGCTCTTGTGGCGAGAATTTTTCTACACCACTGCATTTGGAACCCCTAATTTTGACAAAATGAAGGGAAACCGGATCTGCAAACAGGTAACAAGTGTAGTATAGTTTCTCTTATCAAGTTCCTTCATCTTTAGATGTTCATGCTATTTTAGACTATTCTTTTTGTTTCATTCGTAACTAGATTCCATGGAACGAGGATCATGCTATGTTGGCTGCTTGGAGGGATGGTAAGACAGGATACCCCTGGATTGATGCCATCATGGTTCAGGTTAGATTCATTTTTGTCAGAGTGAATGCCTTCGGCTTTCCTTTTAAGCATCATTCCTGAATCATTTCTTTATCGGGAATTTATAGCTTCGGAAATGGGGTTGGATGCACCATCTAGCGCGTCATTGTGTAGCCTGTTTTCTAACTCGTGGGGATCTGGTAATGCTGCCTCTACTATTTATTGGTTCTATATCCCTTCAGCAAATTTCACTGACATGCTTAGTTTCTGGTGTTAGTTCATACATTGGGAACAAGGGCGTGATGTGTTCGAGAGACTTCTGATCGATTCAGACTGGGCAATCAATAATGGGAATTGGATGTGGTTATCATGTTCGTCGTTCTTTTACCAGGCACTGTCTCCTTTCTTTTCTCTCTGTATTTCTCGTAGTTTTCTTTGGCTTCCTAAGCCTTTTCTGTACAATTGGTTAAATCCAGCCAAAGCATTACACTCTCCATATGAAATGTTTTCCTTTCCGAAGTTTCTTTAGTCATGCTCACACTTGTGTCCCATTGTTCTGTGCCGGTGCAGTACAACCGCATCTACTCCCCTATATCTTTTGGAAAGAAGTATGATCCTGATGGGAAGTATATTAGGCATTTTCTCCCGGTACTGAAAGGTAAGATGAAGGTAGTTTTCATCATCGTTGTAAGTTTGTTTACTGTGTGTATTCTTTCATTGGCTAATAAGTTTATCTGATTCAGATATGCCAAAGCAGTACATTTACGAGCCATGGACAGCGCCATTGAGCGTTCAAACTAAAGCAAAGTGCATAGTCGGGAAGGACTACCCGAAGCCAAGTTAGTAATTCCATCTCTATTTACATTTACATTCTAGAAAGGCATAGCTACAAAATCAGAATTGGTTTACTGTTTAATTAGTTGCGTAGTTGTAACTAACTTTTTTGTTGTTTGCAGTGGTTTTGCACGATTCAGCAAGCAAGGAGTGCAAGAAGAAGATGGGTGAAACATATGCAATGAACAAGAAGATGAATGGTAAAGTGGGTGATGAAGATCTGAGGGATTTGAGGAGAAAGCTTCAGAATGATGATGAACATGAAGAGTCCAAGATCAGGAATCAACGACCAAAACTCAACTAAGTAGGGGAGACAAATGTACTACCACTGAGATTTTTAGACTTGGGTATTATTATTACAAATTGTAGCTGGTATGTGGCTTTTATCTTTTTATGTAAACATGGTTCCAAATCTAACTAAAAATAATTGATTGCATATAACAACACATGCGACGAATGCAATTCATACATAAACTATGGGGGCTATTTTGTAAAGGATTAAAAATATTGGTACCAAAATTGAAGAAGACAAAGAATAGTTACCCGAAATAGAATTTTCTTCAGACAACAAAGCCTTAATTACAGGTTTATATAAACAAAGGCTCTCTCTCATTCTTACACTTCCTTTCCTCTTCGATTCGCCAAATTTTTTTTTTTTGTTTTTCTGTAATTTTCCTCTTTTTTTTTTTTTGTTTGGTTTCTTTTTGAATTTTTCGAGAGGCAGCATTTCCACTGGAGCAGCTGCAGAAATCTTCCTTATCAAAGTATTAGATCGATCGAAGGTTTAGATTCGAGAAAATTTTCACCAAATTAGAATAGACAGGATTGTTGTTTTGTCGGATTTAATCTCGTATCGTGTTTGGCCCTGGAATCGTTTTGGATTAGAAACTATAGGTTGCGATTTCGTGTTAAGTGTATTTTTGGATCGATCAAATTAGTAAAAGGGAAATGGATAAGAAGAAAGTCGCGGTTCCTCTAGTGTGCCATGGCCACTCGAGACCTGTCGTTGATTTGTTCTACAGTCCAATCACACCTGATGGTTTCTTCCTCATTAGCGCGAGTAAAGGTAATATATAAATTGTTTCTAGATTTGTGTTTAATTGTAAGTTTGATTTTTGTAAGATCCAAAATTTGGGAAATAGTTTATAAGATCCAAAACTGGATTATCGCTTGTTGACTCTTACAATTCATTGTTATGTAAATTTGAGGATCTTTAAATGTGTCTTGATGGATTTGTGATTCTTGTTGTTGATTAGATTCTCATCCAATGTTGAGAAATGGGGAAACTGGAGACTGGATTGGTACATTTGAAGGGCATAAAGGTGCAGTTTGGAGTTCTTGTCTCGATAACAATGCGTTGCGTGCAGCATCCGCTTCTGCAGATTTTTCAGCGTAAGTGATGGATCTTATATACTTCTCAAAAAGGAAAGAAAGCAAGTGTTATCTTCGA